GAAGCATTCAGCAACACTTCGAGGCCGATCTGAAACTCAACCTAATCCAAAACAAACGAAAAGTGCAAATTAATTTAACGAAAGAAACGTTCTTTCAATAAACACAAAATGGTATGTTTACGATCACGCCTGTCAGTTTTATTTAAATTTATTAGGAACCGACCGGACTCATGGCATGTCCCTTTATGAAAACTTTTGTTCCAACGATGTCCTCATCGGTGAAATCAAGCAAAATCCAGTTTCTCTTGTTGAAACCCATCTCATTTACATAGAAGAATTAAAATTAAAAACGAGACACAGGAAAACTGTTTTGGAATCTACACTTCGAATGTAGGCGGTTGACAGACCGTCATATATGAAATCACACTACTTATTAAACGATATTTAGATGTAAACTTCACCGTAACACTGTTATTAGACGTTATTTTACGTCTACTTTCATATTTACTACGTTTGTGGTATGAGAAAACATTCTGTACATCTAAAAACGAACTTTCCTTAACTAGAGCCATTTCTGGCGTTTTTAGGAAATTGCGCTTTTCAAGATAAATCGACATTTCTAGACAACGCAACACTGCCTTTAGTATTTCTTTTATGTTTTTAATTCTCTTAAACTTGTACTTAATTAACACAGAAATCGGACTCATGAAATGATGTTGGTTTGCGAGTGATTGGCAGCCATTCGTAAATTTCGACACATTTCATGAGTTAGGTCACTAACTGCACTTAGGAACCCAAAGTGGCCAATAGGAGTGGTGACGGCCATTTTCGGAACGTCCTCTGGGACGATGGAGATCTGATGGAAGCCCCGGCCAAGGTTGATCTTCGAGGAGACAAACTTGCTGAAGAGGGTCCTGGCAAAACCCTGAAGAACCAGAACATGGAGTTTGATGCGTGCAGAAGGGCATAGTGACGAAGCGATGGCGACCATGAGAGCAGACTGCCACATGTCCGCATTCCCGATTATTCCATCGCTGAAGGCCTTTCTGGGGCACATCGCAGTAATGCAAAGAAGCGAGCAATTTTGGGACAGAAACAGACTGAGTTGCGGCTTTCCGACATGCAAAGCTCGACAATGATCTACTACCTCTCATCTAAGCGGTTAACGAGGCAGCAACAACGATTTTTACATCATGAAGCTTGTTTTACCACCGCCAATACCGACCATCTCGACTTCGTTGCTTGTGAAAACCGCAACAACCGAAGACGAGAAATACTTCGCCCGACAATATGTCATCCCTTTGCTGATGACAGTCAGACAAACCCAATATGTCTCGACGAATTAACCAAAGGTTTGAAGGAAATAAGGATGGGCGATCGAGTTATTATTCTGCCCATTGATCATGTGATGATCTGAGAAGACCACGATGATAAGGCGAAGCTTTTGCTTGATTATGCAGAATTTCACAGGCTAGGACAGGACTCATAAGCCAAAGCGGTGACAGATCGGCTGAGTTGACTACTTAAAGAATTCAAGCGCCAAAATGTGACCACGAGGTAAGCAATGCGCCAAACGTAACCAACGGACACTGGCCCACTTTTGTGGTCGGCCACAGAAATGTTCCCCTGTGGTTAGTCGTTGTCCTAAAGGGCATCTCAACCTAAAATTCGGTAAAATGAAACAGCTTTTCGAGAACCTATCGGAGCACTTACAACTCGAACCTTGCGCTACTTGGACGTAGCTTACATTCTGTGGGAGAAACCAGACCTATGCAAGCAGTCAGACACGTGGTCAATCAGCAACTGTTCTGGTAATCTTCATGCCTCGATCTACTCGTGAATGTGATTTGTATTAACATAATGTCCCCCTCTTTCCTATATGATGTTAATGGAAACGTCTTCCGTCTGATTATTCACTTCATTAAACGTTGACCTTCCTCTTATGCACTGACATTCTGTACAAATTCGTACTGCTGTGCGCTTTCATTTGCTATCTATTTTATGCAGAGACGGGTTGCAGTTGATGCGTCGTCACGACATTTACTGGCACCAATAGATCCTGCTGTATATGCCTGTTTTCAGTTCAAAATAAAAGTACTTGAAACTCAAACACCTCATTTCGTTCAGCTTCCCACTTCCTTGTGGGCCTCCGAGGTCGTAGGATTCAATCAAAGGAGATCATAGCCTCTTTTGGAGTGACGTCGTTATTAACATCTACAACGCTGATTTTGGTGAAGTCTTGCATAGGAAACTGCAGGAGTCATGTGAGAAAACTCAGAGTCTGTTCAAAATCCGGCCACTCATGAGGTTGTTCAAATTTTGCTAAATGACACCTATTTCACCTTTGCGGGAGAAATATGAAGACAGATCAAGGAAACTCTAATGAGCTTCCCAGTCTTCGGTTTAGTGACAAAAATGGTACTAAAAGAAGTGTCTTCACCCACCAGCCGCCGAACTTTTTGAGTCGTTATGTATACGACACTTTTGTAGTCGTCAGTGAGATGACTCGGAATTTCCATAACCTGCCCAAATCAGCCTTCCCGGATGTACAATTTACTAAGGGAAGATGAATAGGGGCGGCAGCTGCTTTCCATTGATGGGCTCGTCAGACGAAGTCCCAAAGGTCAAATAGAAACATCGGCCCAAACAAGGACCACGAGCAACACATAGCTTCTTATTTTTCACAGAAACCATCCGGTGGCTTACAAAATAAGCTATGTCAAAACACTCTCCAACCAGATTCAGACTCATCGCAGTAACCAGAAGTGAAGCACGTGGGGCCCAATGTCTTCGCGGCTAATACCTGGAGGTGTTCATCAGTCGATGTATGCGTGTTCGCCCTCGGGGATCCATCCAAACACAACACTCATGATTGTAGAGGGCGCTCACCGATCGATCTTACGGAACTGACTCGTTCCGTTGTGCCTTAAGGGCTCTCTCTCGAACCCAACCAGCAGCCGCACAGCGGCGCATGATATAGGCAGTATGTTATTACCGACAAAAACAAGGGAAACTGGAATGGCCATTTCTGGCTTATTAGCCGTCGTCAGCCAGTCATACTCGGCCCCGAAGTGTGGAACACCCGAGACTCGAACTCGTGACCTGCTAGTTAGAAGTCCACGCCGTAAGAACGATCGGTGAGCGGCCCCTACCATTGTATATTCCCGATCGAAACCGACAGAGCAACGGGTTCGTGGCCCAGTGGTTAGAGACGTGGTGTTATAACTAACAGGTCGCGAGTTCGAGTCTCGGATGTCCCACATTTCGGGGTTGGGTATGACTGGCTGATGACGGCTAATAAGCCAGAAATTGCCATTTCAGTCTCCCTTGTCTTTGTCGGTAATAACATACTGCCTACAACACTCATGGTATGGCATGCCGTGTCACACCTCAAGTGCATTGCTACGGAACCGAATGTCGGATTTGCAGACCCGTTCAAAGCTGCCACGAGCAGCGGGTTCGTAAAAATCGAGGCGGTCTATTGCATCCCATACCTAAATTGTACCTGCAATTACGCGGATTGGGCTAAAAGCATGCTCGGACCGTGCATAAGCGAGCATAAGCTGACTGTGAGACGGCGTGATGGATTCTCAGGAGTGGCAGCTCTCACCCGTGAAACGGTTCACGACTTCAATTTCGCAGCCACGAACTAACCGGCGTGAACCTTAGCTCTGGAACTTCCAAATACTGACAGAAAGATTTGCTGGATTTACACTTTCTTGGCGAGGCGATCCTGCCTAAAATAGCACAAACAATATTTATTTAATCAACCCACACAGTCCGTCTCATTACTTGCCGATAAAATGAGAGCTCTGCTCAAAACAGATTGCATATTCTGATAAAACCGATGTGTATAATCTTCTGGAAGTATTCTTCATTGCTTAATCCTTTACTTTACGAAATGTACGTGGTAGATCAATTGCCACATGTACTGATTGCATATTGCACAAACTTTATGGATAGTATGCACAAATTATTCTTTCCTGTACTTATTTAACAGTAAATCTTCTACTAATATTCTACTCAAATGAACGACGTTCTTCAGTTTAGAATAGTGTTTTAATTATGAGGTGTTGTAAAACCGAAAAATGTCTGATCAAATGGCCTGCTATATGTTCGTATTTCACAAGGAAACAACGTGGTCAGTAGGCATTGCTTAATTTTACGAACCCGGAAAGGATCTTAACAAAGAACACAAAGAAGTTTATGACTTTCCTCATATGGAAACGTCACAGTTGACGGCATGGAAATCCTAAACGCATGTGCAAAGTCAGATCAGTTTAAAAATTACTCAAGAACAGAAAACATTTTTTCGGAACTGGAAGTTACTAATTTCCCAAGTAAAACAAATTGAATAAGACGAAAATTTCTGCAATACGAACACAAGAAAGGATGTTTGTGTGCACATTTTTCATAAAATATGTACCAGCCTATAAGGGAACCGAAAATAAACAGGCAAAATTAATACTATTTAAGCAGTCCCTCTGTACCCAGTGTTTTGCCTACAAATGGTCAAAGTTCATCCTCTCAAAAGCTGCAATAATAGCGTGAACAAAATATCAAAGGCGGGCGCTGCATGATTCTCAGAATTACAACTCACCTAATTGATCCCTTTTAAGCAAAAGCACATCTTAGTGTATTGGTTGGTGTTAGTTGGAAATCGAGGACCGATTAAATCCCAGTAAGCAGTACAAGTAACGTATGACCTCCCGTGCACGAACTGTCCTTGAAATTACACTGGTCAGAGAGAAAGCATGATTAGATGGGACATGCACGAGCATAATCCACCACGCTGTGAGACAGCATGGTGGATTACCACGGGTGACGAATTTAACTTCGCAGTCACGAAGACAATCGCCCACGCTAGAAGTAAGACAAGCTGCGAATGAATTGAAACCTGGGCCTCAGGAAGCACTCGGTTAATCGATGTATCGATCTGGCGCCGGCATATAGAGCCCTAACCAGTTACCTCCAGACTGGCGTCACCGACTTTTGATTGGCTCACACTCCGTATACGCGTTGTTTGTTATGCTGCCGCATTTATTTCTGAAGTAGGAGTTCTAACTGAGTTCGAAAGTTTGGAGGAGGCAGAAGCTGATTCCGGCAATCGCGCAGCCTTCTTCACAGTCGTCGTCGTCGTCGTCGTCGTCCTCCTCCTCCTCCCCCTCCTCCTCCTCCTCCTCCTCCTCCTCCTCCTCACCACCATCATCATCATCGTCATCATCATCATCATCATCACCACCAGCATCACCACCATCCACATCAACTTCGTCAAAACACTTCGCCTTGTCCCGTTGAGCGAGCAATAGGCTGAACATTGGTTTCCTCCATTCTCGCGGCTGCATCCAGAGATAATTTGTCCGCCCTCATACACGCAAGACTCGGCAAACTGGCCGCGTCAGCGCTTAATGGTTGCCTGCGGTCTGAGAGCAACCCCAGACTCCGAGCCAGGTGAGAAAGAGGACAAACATCTTCAGAGACTTTCGTGGTGTACGGGAGCACCCACTGAAAAATTGGTCATGTACACTTTGATCTGTGGTTTCCACTTTGCGTGCACCGGTTGCCGAAGTTGAGCGGGTGGTCCTTCGCTCCGATCATCGATCAAGAGTAGAGTACTTAAGTTATCTTGTAGCTGGGTTCATTCTGGTGGGTGCAAACGCGTTGACAGCGTGTCCATACGCAACCTCATTCAGGAATGATCGGGCGGTCGCTGTGGAAAATCAGTTATAACAATGTGTTCACTGTTCTCCTTCTTTCATCCCATTCTGTTTTCCTTGGTCGGGGAGATATTCTTTGGGTACTAAAATCTGATCCCGTTAGACATCGGCGAAGGCATCCTCCAACCAACCAACATCGAAATGTTGTCTGTGTCGATGGAAGATCTTCTTTGCGGTTTCTGTGGCATCAAACACGAAGGCAGAGTCTGGGCAAGTGAAGTTGATGACGGGATCAAGATAGAAAGTTCAAACTAACACCTTTCCGATCGATATTACTCATCATCACATCATAAATCTATTTACATTTTGGTTCCTGGCCAACTTAACTCCTACATATTTGCTGATTCAGTGTCCATGAGGACTCCTTGCCTTAACCGCCATACAACCTTTCTTGCAACCTGCCCAAAACATTACCAGAAGGGCTGCTTAATCGACTGCAAAAATTTCTTCAGAGGTCGTCGGTCGCAATGCGGGGGTAATTTGTCCTCCTATCGGGGAGTAAATTTTTTTCGCATATGCCCCCCTCAGATCTGGACAGGATTATTGTAGCGTTTTAGTTATTCAGTCTTCAAAATTGCACTTTATTCGAATAGTCGATAGCAAAGGCAGCCTAGACGGAATATGAAACTTCAATTTAGCGTGCCTGAATTCCAAATGATAGGAGGCCGACTGCAGTTAGCTTACACAAACCTTGGGTGGTAGAGGAAGAAGGGAAATTTTGCCATTTAGAGAGTTCGCTCTCACCGCGAATCCTTCGTAAATCTAACCATATCTCAAAGACTCGGTCCTTGAGCAGGTAGCGCACGCACAAGCTGTTGTGGTTGTTGGTTATTTTTTCCTCCCAGAAAGATGGATCTAAAATCTGATACCTTGCTTTTAATTTAGACGATAATGGTACCTCATTCCACTGTCAGCGTGGTGTTGAATTTAGCGTTTTGATGTTGACATTTGAGAAACACCTGTCAGTGTTCAAGTCTCCTTATCTGAGCCTCTCTCTTCGCAGTTTTTAGGGAATATCCGTTCGATGCAACCCAACGACAAACTACCACCCATTGAGACCGTAGCAGTTGTCTATCAAATACGTTGTAACGATGGAGACTGCAACTACGTTGGGGAAACCGGACGGAAATTGCAGACCCGTCTAAATGAGCACAAACTGGCAACTCGGGGACTAGACCCAAACTTACAGCTTGAGGCTCATATCGGAGAAACTGGCCGCAGTTTTGACTTTCAAGTAGCCGCCGTCTTAGGTCGGGGCACCTCAAGGACAGAACGTCTCACACTTGAGGCTTGGTAGTCAGATGCAAACTCCATGAACAGACATATAGACCATCCTGCGGCTTATAAAGTCCTACGTCACTACATACGTCGTGACGAGGACAAGATAGTCACACGGAGCCTAAGAATACGGAGCAAACACGGCCTGTCGACCAATTCACCTAAAACGGGGACACTAACGCGACACACAGAACAGGAGGCTACCAACCCTCACAAACGACGGCCAGTAGACCAAGGCAGCGAAAGAAGAAGAAAAATCAATCAGCCCAAGGCCAACTAATTCCACTGTCTATTCAAAAGTCCGATCAATTTTTGCACTAGATGCTTTGATAATGGAGAGCGACCTAAGCTGTTCGAAACGTCATCCAAACAATTCCCTCGATCCGGTAAACACTTCCCTTTCCTCAAGGGAATATCCGCCTATCGTGTGGAGCCCATATGCACCGCTGTCCTTCCTCGTCCATGACAAACGAAAAATTCCAAAAGATGCTACCTCTCGTGGTTTCTTTTAAACTGCTTAACGTTACTTAGTGTTGGCGCTGCTTCCTGCCAAGGCAGAAATCGATAATTAATGCACGCAAGTACGTTTGGTAGGACAGATCAATATATTACCTCCCAATCATTTTTAACTTGCATTCTCTTGCATCAGGCACGTCGCCTTGATGTCAGAGTGTAATGAAGTGGTGAAGTAAGAGCTGCTTTAAACTTTTCATATTTTACTGGAAGAATCATAAGCACAATCTGTTTATAAAAACAGCAGGTCCTCTAACATATACATGAGGCTTCATACATAAACATTGAGACAGTGTAGACGAACGAATGACTGTGTGGAGACTTTTGTGAGTTAGGAGTGACTAGTTTAGCGCATAACAACCCATTCAGATGCGTATGTGTGGGCGTTGGTTAAGTCTGAAACTTCTAGCTTGCCTCTTGGAGCTAGGCCCTCACAGACAGTTGGCAATGGCTGCTGAATGTAGGGCGATAAAAGCGCCAAATCTTTACTAGACATTCCTCCAAATTGCCAAGGTTTCTGATCTACCAGTCCGTTAAACTGTTACTCTCGCAGAGGAACCTTCGGACATTATGGAAGTTAACGCGATTTTAGTCCTATACGTACTCCAAACTATCCCCAATTGGGACTTGGTGATGGGACTATTTTTCTTCGTAACATTCTGACTGGGGTGTTTCTTTCAGGGAGAAGTTTTATGCAGCTTTGCGGCGTAACTATTACACGCTAAAGTTGGTCTCAAAATTAACCACGGTAGTCGCTTCCTCATGGGCGAATTTGCTGGGACAGAAAGTCCGAAGACTACGGTATAACGATAAGAAATTGCTTTCTAAATTCTATTTCCATTCAGATGACGCTATCTGTGAAAATCGCCACTGATGATTTAAAGTAGGCCCAAGTTCTTAGCGTTCGAAAATTACAGACGTTTTATTTTATCCTCATTCTGAATGACTCCGAGTAGTCTCACGGAAAATCCTGGGAATGTTGGTGATACCTGTATTGCCCGCTCATACTTGTTACCTTTTTCTAGTTTGGGTACGTTTTGTTTTATATGACTTGATAACTGTAACTATGGACGACAAAATATAGGTGTTGTTGGCGCGAAGGCGATTGCCAGTTCCCCTAATGTTTTATGGGAGGTGTATATTTAAAAGCTCAATACTTCATCATCTTCATTATCATGCCAATTATTTCACTGACAGAAGCGGCAGATTTGAGGGATGTACGAAAAGGTGACGGTTGACAAATGGATCGGATCTTATTTCGTAGCCATACCTGCAACAGACAAGCGCCAGCCTAACCCCTAATCCCAACCCCTAACCCCTAATCCCAACCCCTAACAAGTACAGCTACGAAATAAGATCTTGCCGAGCAATGCAAGTGGAATGGGTAGGTCTAAATGAATTGACGAAATCGAATGCTTTAGGCCAGTCCACTCAAACTCCACATAGAACCCGAGAGTGGATCAGTCGGTGGACCCTAAATTTGGCCATGTTCCATTCCGAGCAATATACCGCAGTAATGCTCTATCATTTCCCAGGATTGATGTGTTCGTAATATTCATTTATTGATTCTGTAATGCCAAATACGTGACATGCTACTTCTTATGCATGAGCCCGCGTTCAGTCGGGATGAACCTTAGCTCTGTCAATCCCAAATTTGGACAGGAATATTTGTTGAACTTGCTCATCATTGGCCGCGTGTAAACAGTATTGACCTCACTAACTCGCACGCGCTGTTTCATTGCTTGCTAATGAAAGGAGAGGTCTGCTCAAAACAAGTTCCCCGTTCGTACTCATTTAGTAATCAATTATCCTCAAGTATTATACTCAAGTGAACGTCGTCTTTCGGTTTAATGAAGTGTTTTAATATTTTGATGCCTCAAGACCAATAAATATCTAGTTAAATGGCATTGTTTTTGCTCATCCATAAAGAAGCAACGTCGTCTAGACTCACTGTTCACTTTTTTGAAACCGGAAAGGGTCTTGGTAAAGAATCTAAAGGAAATTACGATTTTCCTCAGATGGAAGGGCTACATTCGGTGGCATGGAAATCCTAAACGCAAGTACAAGGTAACATCGATTTCCAAATTATCCGGAAATAGAAAACATCTTCTGAAATTGGGAGATACTCTTTCTGTAAGTGGAAAACTTGACGAATTTTTGCCCAAAATGAACTCAAGAAAGGATATTTATGTGCACATTTTTCACAAAATATCCTCTTGCCTATAAGAGCATCGAAAAATAACAGAAATAATCCAGACTATATAAGCACTCACGTTGATCCCGTGCGTTTTCTATACTCGGTCGGAAATTCTTGTTCCCAAAAGCTCCGATAAAACATCAGAGGCATGTGCTACATGAGGCTCGATATTATAACTCAAACTACAGTAAGTTAGCTAACTCATGAAATGTCCACCGAAAGTCCTAAATGCCTTTTCGTTTCGAAAAGATTAATTGAGTAGGATTGTAAAACTAGTCAGCCTGCAACACAATTCTATAATATTTCAGTTACCTCAGGATGCCGGCTTTCGAATGAACTTCCTTCCGGCTGCATGCAAAAACTACACTCTGCAAAGAATGACTACTTACGTAGCATGCATTTTTCTCACTGATTTTCGATGCCCTTAAAAGTCCAATTATATTTCATGGAAAACATGCATAAAAATATTCATTCTTTCGATCATTTGGTAGCAAATCACGTCTTCTATTAATTTTATACTCGAAGGAGAGACATAATTCGGGTTTAAAGGGTATATTATTGCGAGATTTTCTAATACCGTGAAACGGCCGTTCATAAAACGTCATGTCTCTGC